AGATCAGGCGTGTATTGAAATTTTCAATATTCTCTTCAATGTATTTCACAATAAACCTCACGCAAGCAAAAGGGAGTTTATCGGTACATTTTATCACTTATTTCACGGTTATTCAAACAAAAACTTCCATTTTCGATGTATCAACATTGCCAAAATCCATTCGCGATAAAACAACGGCAAAAAAACGTTGATCTCTCCCCAAAACCATGTTTTTGGGCGTCGAAACAACTTTTTCGCCATACATTTCCTTCTAGCGACTTCCAATGTTTGCCCCCTGACGATCCCAGAGTTCTTTGCGTAAACACGGGTATCCGATTACTGGCAACTCATTCATTATGTTATACTTGAACTAACGGACATTACTTACTCGGCATTGTCTTGCACCAGAAGAGTCCAAAAGGCCAAGACTTTAACTGATTGTAAATCAATGTGAACGGAATGTTGAATAAGCACACAAGTATATCCCACACTGCCAAATTCACAAGAAACAGGTTCATGGCTGTCTGCATTCTTTGGTTCTTATACACCACAGCGCAAACCATAACATTGCCAACGGACCCTGAATAGGAAAAGAAAAACAAAGATGTATTATTGCAACGGAAGACTACTGAACGATTACAATTCGAGCCCTCCTAAAAACAAACAGTTTAGATTAAAAGTGTTTTCCCCAAAGAACAAGAAAACTAATTAACAAGTACAAATCTCTATTACAACTGTCGATTGAACTGAAAAAACATATGAGCGATGTATAATTCGGCTTCATTATCAATGCCTATATATACTGTCAAGCTGACAGGCGGCCATGCAGAATAATGATGGTTGACAGTCAATTAATAGAACTAATTAAAATATACTGTGAACTCCTAAGGCGTTACAGAAACCCCAGACATGTTTGCTGTGAATAGGTTCTCTAGTCGAGGAAGAGGCGAAGAGAATGCGGGAAGAAAGAGGATAGAAGAACAGTCTCTCTAGTCGAGGACAGCTCCTTCTCAGCCCCTTCAGCCGCGGTCAGACCCTTCTGTTAGCCGGAGCCTGTTCACAAGCTACTTGAGAAAGGCTCCTGCCTGAGATATATGCAAGAGTCTGTGCATTCTATGATCAAATTGTAACAATAATTTTAAACATTTACCTTTGGAGATTACTGTTGCATGGAAGGGCGGTTTTACACTTAAACGCCTGCAGTATATATTTTTGATGTTAATTTAACTTTTAACTAGTTTTCACAGCATCTACGACTGACGATAAAATGACTGCGGCCGAGATACTAATTTTTAAATTCATTTGTAATTGTATGCTTGCAAGACGCAGATGTGCGATGAATTTCCGCAATCTCCGCGTTCGTTCAGGACTATTTTTATCATTTCATAAGGAACTAAAATGTTTTGCAATATTTTCTGAAAATAAATATTTGTTGTTTAAACAAAGTGAATCGATTAACAATCAACACCTCGTTTACTTATGGTCTGGCACCATGCAGACATTGTTATCCTTTCTGCCCCTTTTGTTCTCCGTAACAGATCCATGAAATTTACTTATGCTGTGTTTAGACTTGAACGGTTTACCTAGGTACCAGAGTTTACTTACCTAGGTAACATTTTCCGTGTGTAAACGCCAACTGATACTTTGGTAAATGCCGCAAAAGACAAAAGAAATACAACCGAGGTAAAAGTTGTAATTACCCTGTGATCAGGCATGGTTACAGTTGGTAATCAAGGTCAAGATGACAGATATATCCGCTTGTGGCGGCGTAATATTTCACTTCCCGCGGTGAGCAGATTGAGCGATTGTCGACAAAGCGTTTCTTTTCCAGTTTTGACTGGGCGATCATGGCAGATAACGTGGAAAGACTGGATCTATCTTCTTACAGCGAGCAATCCGTCACGTAAAAGAGAGCTTCGTAGTTTTCATTCTCAGTATTATTTACAGCTTTCTCTAGACAAACTTCGATCCTATGTTGTGTAATTATTGTCGATATATTTTGCCATCAGGCGGGGAGGATGCTGCATATACAACGTATCCATGCATACTCTGGATATGATCAAGCAGCTGAATTTTCTCCGCAATATTATGGAATGAGGTCCTCGCCGAAGAAAATGATGGCACCTCAGTTTGCTCCTGTTTCACTGCGGTGGAATCCTCGTCCAAGTTCGATTTCATGACGTTGATAATGCAGCGCGCGCGAACTTGAGTTATTTGAGCCGGTATAAACACTGGACGAATGTACCAAGGTTAAGTAGCTTGACCTTAGTAACTGTTTACCTTGGTAAAAGCTCAAATGTAAACGCAGCATTAAGCACACGAGTGATGTACAAAGTTTGATTCACCCTTTGAGTACTTTGTCACCGTGATTTCTCCACTTTAGGGTCAATATTAGTATGCAAAGATTATTTTTTACACACGTTGGTCGAAGATATGGCTTCAAATTTACTTCTACGAAAGCAATTTGCATTTTGGCAATAATTACGAGGGTCAGGGAACGGCCAAGGTTACGACCAGGGTTAAATGGAAACGTCAGTTTCATAACATTGAATACACTTCGAGACATAAAAACAAGAAGTTTGGAAAATTTTAATTAAAATGCAGAAATCTTTTGTTGTCCTAATGGACCTCTTTCACTTTCTGTCTCTCTTTGCGGTACTGTTAATGCTTTCAACGCAGTTAGTACTTAATTATCACATTTTAAAAGGCTAACAAACTGATGGAGCGAGTGGAATGCGGTGTAGCATTTACTACGTTCCAAAAAGCACGGCGGACTGAACTCTCCTTAGCGTTTCTAAAATTGTTCTATGCTGAAAAAATCTAAACAAGGAAACGTTGTATTTCTACACCTTTATCAGATACATGGCTGATCAGCAAATGACACAAGGTTTCGTTTATTATGGCCAGCTAAGCGTTCTCTTCTGTGTCTTTGACAATTTTGCTTTGTTTTTAAGTGCTTCACGCTGTTCACGTGTAGCCGTGGAAATAAGATTCAAATCATGTCCACGGAAGAGAGAGAAGTTAAGGAATTTTAAACGTGAGGAAAGATATTTTCAGTTTAAACAAGTATAACTCCTGATCTTCTGTTTTTTCTATCCGCTGTTTCTCGCGGTGCTCCCAACTAAACCGCTTGGAACACCGGGCTAGTTAACTGTTTGACCCCATGCCGATAATTAAATATAAGTTTCTCAGTTAGAATTCACAATCATCCAAATGGCTACTTTCCGCTTTTGATAAGAAAAGAGCAGAGGAGGAGAACAATTGCCTCGGTCTACTTCTGTGACACTGTCGAATAAATAGGCTTAAAACAAACGTGACTTGATCAGATAGCTTAACGGCTTAGCACCATGGCTCAAGCCATAGCTTTTTATAAAAAGATACGAACTGATCGGCTTAAAGTTTTATAATTTATTAATCCTACCTAACACTCCGTTGGATCTTTAAACAGGAAAGGATTTGTTGTGGGCTACCCTAGTACCCACACGGAACTAAAACTCGTGTAGTTTAGATTGTTTGCTTCTAATAAGCCCTTAGACAAAGATTTGCATGTTATTTTCAACTTATCTACATTTTTGGATGTGGCACGAGTCTGTGTTATGAAAGAGCAAAGCATCTGATGCAGTCAAACTGTTGGTAACTTTCTGAATTTTAAAACTTTTTCGGATACAAGTCGGCAAAACGCCAAGAGTGCTATTAAACTTGTTAACTTTGGTTAACTTACCCACAAGAACTATAATGCCTCCTATAGTCCAGCGTAGTACGATGGCCCATAGTGGATCGTACAATCCGCCTACAGGCGGTGGCGCTGTGGTTGACACATTGCTGATGTTCTTTGCTGCGATAGTGGAAGTGAAATCCATCTTCAAGGCGACGAGCTCTGTTTGAACGGCAACAGACAATAGCTTCATTAGCTAATCATTTCCTGACCAGAGACACATAAACACTGGGTCATCACAAGAAACGTGACCTGAGTAAGATTTTGTTTAATCAAGGAATGTCACTTCGCTAAGACATGTGTATTAAATTACTTCTACCATGTTACTCGCTCATAAGCTCAACTTGACGTGTTTGATAGCGGTTTTAACCAAAGGCAAAAGAAAAGTCACATTTGCAGGCACCATGTGTGACTGATTATCGGACTTGAACTGCACTCAGCTTTGCGTGTAACAGGACGCCCCATCATTTTTCTTCTCATCAATCTGTTGACAAGCGTTTACATGCGATTCTTTTGATCACAAACCCAACATACAACAAGTCGATGGCAGGTGATTGACGCAGAGTTACATACCAAAATTTACTTGCGTAGGGAGGAGCGTGCTTCGACGATCAACTAGGAAATCTGATTACTGTACAGCGGGTATTAAGAAGATCGAAAGAAGCCGGTCTTCGTCTAATGCTAGGCTCAAACGTCGCACCTCAGCCTAGTTGAATCTTTGACCCTTTTGGCAGGAGTATGGGCTATCTTAATAACAATGTGTTCATCCTGTAAGCTGACTTTTTACTCTCACTCCGAGTTGTCTTAGCGAGAAATGTGCCAAACACCGTGACGTCATAACAGGGGGCAAAGAAAACGCTCCATCATTTCTTTTGTAATGTCTTTCTTATTGCAAATACCGAGCACAGTGTGAAAACAGCAAACACTGGCCACTGCAAAAGCGCTTGAGTCTGTTCACGAAACTGCCCGCTCTACGTTTCGCACAGAGAACAATTCAACAAATTCGAGATAATAACTCGAATGCTTTTGACTAAAATTATACATTGCCTCTCAAGTGGTTTTCTTGAACGCTGTATTGAGTGAGAAACTGCGATTTGCATTTGACTGCAAAACAGAAGTTACGTTACAATGACCTTAATCTGTCTTGAATATAAAGCGTTTTCAAGACAAAGGAAGAGGTTTTGCGTCTCTGGTTGTTTTTTTACTATGGCACAAATGAGGACATAACGCATAGGCGACAACCAAACTACATTCTGGTTTTGGTTTAAAAACTTGGATCTGTAAATAATTACTAATAACTCGATACTGGGCGTTTTTACGGAGTGTTTAGCATTAATTGTTTTCGTTTAAACATCAATTTAGACAAAACATTTATCTTAAACTCTATAGGCAAGAGTCAGGCTTCACTGTATTTTACACAAAACAACTGATTACCTCGTTCACTTGTTGACTTTTTAAACAGATAAATTTTAGCGGCACTGCTATATCATTTATAAGTTCCGGTACCTTGTTTCGTTTCCTTACGTTCTCTTCAGTGTTCCTTGTGCCTTTATGATTCCTTATTACCCTCGTTGGGAAAGTGCTATCTCTATTTTCTCCCTAAAATAAACTGTTTGAGTACCTTCCACTTGAGAGGGCGGTTTTATGTAATTGTTGGCCATGCGTAGCTGGTAAACACTGTCCGGAAAATTGTTGAACCGGAATATTCAAATAATTAAACAAACACATGCACCTTCCAGAAAATAAACTGACTTCCGACGGGGTTTGCACCTCGGTACGATAAGAAAAACCAAAACGTGCTGAAGCGGATCAGTTGATACGTCACACTCACGTCACGGGATTTTACTGTACGACGTTCCAAAAACCTCTTCATAACTGCTTTTAACGCCTCTGATTTGACAAATAGGCAAAAAGATCAACCTGCGTCACTCGCGAAGGCGCCACGAGAGCAAAATATGATCCTTTTCGTTGAAATGAAGTCTATCACAGTACGTCATGAAGTGCGAAGGCCAGCGGGGTCGATCGATATGAACATGACTTGAATTGTTTTATTGTGCTTCTAAACCACCTCCACGCTTTGATTAATCCGCGAACATTTAGAGAAAGGAACAGCAAAATTTGCAAAGGCAACACGATCGAAGTCGACCATATTGGTGGTAATTTCCGCTTAAAATTAAATAACATTTTGTTTTCTTTAGAAAGAGTTTGGATGTATGATCAATGACGAGTACTGATAAAGGACTGATCGTGAAATAAAACATGTTACGAGTTCAAAAATCCACTATTCTCTAAGCTTAGACCCCGACCACACTAATGCATTTTTAAAAGTAGCCGTTTTCGTCTCAAAGAAAACGAAGCAATATTTTCAGTTCGACCACACTAGCGTTTTCGTTTTTCGTTGCTTTTTTTCACATGTCCACACTAATTCGTTTTCATTCGAAAACGGATACTTTTTGATACGTTTTTGCCTATCGTCTACATTAAAACGCCCGAAAACGCTGATGGAAATGACAGTGTACCTGTATAACGCTTTTTTCGGCACAATTTTACCCATCCACACTAGAAACAGAGCGTTTTCAAAAGGCTTCAACTTTAAAACCGTCTTCGAAAGTCTCCGTTTTCATCAGCGTCTTCGGTCTTTTTAGTGTGGACGATAGGCGAAAACGCATCAAAAACAATGCGTTTTCATCCGAAAACGCATTAGAGTGGTCGGGGCCTTAGGGCAATGTGACATGTATGAATCGGGCCCGTTATCTGAAATTGTAGGCCTCCTGCTGGCGGCGTGACTACAAAAAGACCCTGAACTCAGAATGGATACATAACCGTTATAGCACCTGCGAACATTCATTCGAAAGTTATTGTACTTCGTCAGTAGCCACAGGTGTATCTTTTTCAACCCAATACTCATTTGAAAAAGTACGAGCGTGGGTTGTTAGTTGGGTGTACAGTGTCGACTAGTGTAAGTCTAGACTTTTAAGTGCTTTATTTATGTCGCGTAACTGACAAGTGTTCCAAAAATAAACCCATGAACTTGGCTTTGTACAATGTAAGACAATTGTTTAAGGACAGTAAAACTCCTCCTTTCTGTTTTTGCTCCTTTTCCTCTGTTAATTTTTCAAAGCAGTCTTTCTTATTGCAATAAACCGCCAGTTTCGGTTCTGATTAAAGATAATCTTGTTTCTGCCCGAATTAGAAGTAGTCTAAGAACTAAAACAGTTAAATTCGACTATTTGTCCTTACGTTAACCTTTCTGAACAACACCACGCTAACCAGCTTTAAAAGAGAAATTAAAATATCATTTTATCTTCACAGAAAAAGAACTGAAGCACCTTTACTCACTTTCTTAAAACAATTGATAACTATAAAAAGAAGACCGCAAAGGAGATTATAAGGTTCCCCAATCCAAAAAGAAATTTATAGCGCCTGCAGTGATAAACGTGACCAGAAGAAAACTCAGGACTAGCAAGTTTTAAACTTCTTTGTTAATTTTAAAAGGGGATTCACAACACTAAAAATCTAGCAATTAGTTTGTCACTCATCAGTATCAATCCGCAGGAAACCCGCTCGGGATACATTAATTTAAAAGTCTTCACTGGCTTACTAATACTATGAAAAAAAACTCGACGGTTAACATCACGAAATGAACTTATTGCCGGATATACGTTTCGACGGTTCGGAATGGCTTTTCTTGTTGACCCAAATCTTTAAACAGGATGAGGCGAGGTACACTGAATACTTTCATGCAAAACATTCCTTTTCGTTTTCTCTCTAAAACAATTTTTTTTTTTTTGCTCTGAATGAAATTCTAATGGTCGTACATGTACAGACATATCGTCTTCCTCAAGTCACGGAAGATATATAGCATCGAGAGGTCTCGTATAGCAGGTATAGGAGCAGTTTGCGTGGACGGGTTTACACATATCGTGATAAATGTAGGCTTTTCCATGCTCGTTATCTGACCGCAGTTTTAGTGTTTGATTACTATCAAACTTGAAAGAGTTTAAAATTAGATCATAGAGCAACGAAAAAGGAGTCCTTCGCCTCACGGTCGCCATGCAATTAAAATTCTCTGGCAGATTTACTGACGAGAATTACTACCCAGACGTAAAAATGAATCCAGTAATTAATCGAAATTAATCAATAGCAACTTTTCTAGGAAACGGCGACAAATTTGATATAAGGTCCGCCGGACTTTGGCAACTTGAGTCACGACCTAGCGCAACTGTTTGCCGTTACATGTAACCCATTATTACAGCCACTGTTTTGCGGCTTCAGTGTGGTTATGTAGTGTTCTTTTTAAATAAAAACGTGACTATTTTTAAGTTTCGATCAATAAACAGATGTCTTTTTGGATTTTGACGTTTCGAAGTCATTTTCACGATAGTGCCGCTCTACGAAATCTCCAAGATCTTTGAATTGTGTGTGGCCAAGCTGACAAACCTTATAGGTGAAAACTTTGCTCCAGACAACTGGTCGTAATCAATAGAGAAAAAACATCACTCAGTACAATCTCACTTGCGTTGGTGAACTAAACGTGTACTCTGATGACATAAATACCGCACTGAAGATGTCTCGCTTTTAGCGTAACGTAAGCTAAGCCGGACAGGACTGTTTTCAAATAAACTGTTTCAATGGTAACTTAGTTCGGTGTTAAGAATGTACATGGCTTGTTTGGAATTTTCATTAAGGACTCCTTAAATGGCTTCATGAGTAAACAGAAGCAACACAGGGCATTGGCTGATGGAAAGCACTTTGGCCTTTCTATCGAGATAGCAAACAGCAAATATTCTTTAAAACATTTATGCTGTCTTATCATTCATTTTTGTTTCATGAATTAAGACACTGAGCTCTTCATACAATGGCAAGAATGCAAGAGAGACAGCATTCAACTCACGACTCTGTCATATCTGTAAACTCGGCGACTGGAATAAAGGTAAGGAAGAAAGAATATGTAATACACAGCACCGTCATAGAAATCTATCCGACTTTGGTTCTAGCCAATAATCGATCTCATTAGTTACACAACAACACACTACAGCTTGCTCAATTGTTTGCGGTAACAAAGTTTTCATCCACGAATGAGGTTAGTTTACAACAAGGCTAAGAACAAGCTGTCAACTCGAGAAAAAGATACTCGTGCTGTACTTCTTCAAAACTAAACTCATTTACCTCAGTGCGTGTGATCCAGGCTGAAAAAATCGTGTGGATCCTGGAGAGGACAGCAGTCGATTACTGCGGCAATCCGTTCATCGATTTGCCAAGTTAATTACCTTTTCTCGTTACTCAGTTTGCATACATTCCAGACTGGGTCACGAAACCAGCTACAACTGACTTAACAATTACTAATTAAGTAAATCATCAGCTCATGGCCGACATTCACTCCATTCTGCCAAAAGTCGTCGATCGCTCCCTAAATGACACGTCTTGCGCAACAGCTGTTTAGCAGAAGTTGCTGGCAGAAAGATATGCTTATGAATTATTGTGAAAAAGCGTTTCTACTGGCCGAACTTACTTCATTGTCTTAATATGACAATCGCAACCTCTTCAAATCATCCACAGACAAATGCAGAATGTCTTATGAAGGTCAAATATGTTTGACCTTATCCTAGTCGTTTCCCTTCTTCATTCGTAGTTTGATATTGCCTAACTATGATAAGAGACAGGGATGTTTTGTTTCGCTCTTTACTAGGTAGCCTGAGCTACTTTAAATTAATGTAGGAACGAAGCACCGCCTTTACATTTCTCTTGCACAAAAGCTAACATGCTTAATATATGATAGCCATCAACATCATTAACAAAATCACCTACACTTTCAGCTCATTAAAAATATTTTCTATGTTCTTAATTTGTTTAAGTTACATAATATCCGTATAACAGATCAAAGCAGTTTTCGGTTTAACCCTTCAAATTTTAAACAGAGACAGACTCCATAAATCAGAATGGTAAAAGATTTCATTCCTGGACTGTTGACCCTACTTTCTGTACTGAACTTGACCGAAGATCACTGCTTGCAAATCACTGATAAGAAATTAAAGTAAATTCTTCTTAACACGGAATTCTGCTATCACCATAAGAGTGAGAGAAAAGGTCTAATTTGTTTATGCCCTGGAACAAGAATCTGAAACGAAGGCCATGGTAATTTAGGTAAAATTGTCACTTGCGTTAGCAGTATAGTGAGACATTCTGGTACGTTTGTTGTAAGTTATTTTTAACGCTTAACGAGATAAAGTGAAGATAATTTGGACTGAGTTAGGGAAGGCTTAAAGATGGAAAATTGATGATGGATGTTGGACTTGACCCACAGCTCGACTGAACGAAACCAAAATCTACGCTATATTTGATACAAACCACAAGCTGACCTGGATGTTCTTCAGTCAGAAATACTTTCTTGATTACTGTTTTTGCAGTTAGTAAAACGAGATAGCCGTCGTCGTGAACTTGTCAGCACGAGAATTATGTGGATCTGGTCCACTGTGACATTAGCTTGTATAATAATTTGTTCAATTGCTCGAAAGGCCCTCCTGTCTAGCAAACAACCGGCGGAAATCCTTATGCGTTGGCAGGCTGAGTAATATATGAGGAAACTGCATCTATCGCCACTTACGCCGTGGGTCTGCCTAAAAATGAATTGCTTAAGTTTAGTTTATGGTTATTAACTACACCTCATTGTAAGAGACATAATGAAACGACCTGGTGAGTTATATTGACCTTCCCTACTGGCCCTGGCTGTCTGTAGGAAAAGATACTTGCTTTGGTGGTCTCTATTCTCTCCTGGTATAAAATTTAATTTGGTCTTCCGGTTGGATGCTAACTCTTTTGGGGTACCAGGGGAGGCTGTTAAGTATATACTTTCACGGATTTCGGGGGATTTCCGACCTTAATGCCTTGATATGAGGCTTCTCTTTTTCTTTGGTTGTCCTTTTGTCTTCGGGTTGAGAACTGGAACACCTTTGGTGGAGTACCGGCGATGACAGGTTGACACCTCTGTTATAGTAAAAAAAAAAAGTATGTTTCCGCGCAATTTGTGATGAAGGAACTTTGAAACGACTGATCCATTTTGGCCATTTTGAGTAGAATAAAAGAGAGACATAGTCTGTTGGTCTCCTAGCAACACGGGCTTCTGACCAGTTGAGGAAAAGCAGAAATAAAATTATTCCAATTGCTGTGAACTAGTAATGCGTAACTGTTATTTTCATTGGCCGACTTTCGCATCCTTTTGGCTGGAATGAAATTACAGTGTCATAAACAACGATGAATTTCCAAGATAAAGCGACATAAATTGATTGATAATATGTTTTCAAGTTGTACAAGAATCAAATGCTAGTACAGCATTATAGTATTCAATGTTATCGGCGAAGTTCTGAGCAAACTCAGCATAACTACTACTAAATGCACATATACCTCCTCACGGCCTTAAAGTGGATATTTTAACACGAGCAGCTTACACGTACCTTTGGTAGAACGTTTCGTTTTAGTTTGATAACAGACAGGAACTCGACAATATCTTGCACTTGAAGATCTGTCAGAACCTTAAGTTGTGGAAGAAATACTGCTAACGTTCCTCTGACGTGATCTTTTCACAATCACTAAATCTGGAGACCTAATAGAGTACGCCATTGTTTGGGTAATACGAGTTGCGTTGAGCCAGAATGCAAATGATTTAACCGTGTCTGAAAAGAGATTTTGGGCAATAAATTGTCAACACCGGTGTGGGAAGGGCACATAACTATTTGGCTGATCACGCTATTTTAAGCGATCTCCTGGCTGATTAACGGGTTTAAAAATCTAGTTAAACTGGTAAGTAACGGTTTAAAAAGATATAGAATAAATTGAAAGAACTGCTAGAAAACTGTCAAAGAGTGCAAATGAAAAAATTACCTTTTAACAGAATGTAAGCGTACCTTAACTTAGTTCAAGGTTAGGTCAATGTTTATGAGAATGTGACCCATAATTCGTATAAATCCTTTCTGTCTGTTGCCTCCAAGATTGTATCATTGAGTAAACATCGAACTGATTTTGTATTGTCATAGAGCACTTATCCTTTGCCAAGAAGAGAGTTTTGCCACATACTTACGTACTGAAAAGACTAACCAAGCCACAAATTAATTCAGCTGGATTAATTTCAGGAAGCTATTTGACTTCGCTTCATGGTGACAGATTCTTTACTTAGTCATTACAATTAAACTGGTAAATTACTATGCAATTAAATGATGGAGTCACTCGAGACCCCTCATGGCAAAAATGAAGCTCACCTCGCAATATTTCAACACTCAATTCTTTTCAAATGTCCCTACAGCAACCGTGAGATATTCCACATTCAATAAATCGTCTTCTGTGTGATACAATAGTCCACGAGGTATATGTCGAATTAAGGCCGTGGGACATAATTGAAATAACTGGAACAGGGCTTGTCTGGTCATAACACAAAATCCACGCATTGCTACTTTATTATTTCTTAGGTGTATTGAGTTTGACAAGCAAGTTCAAATATTTTGTCGGCATCGTATGGCACTGCCAAGGCAAGGTCGACGTTAAGAACGAAAAAAAGTTCGTTATCACCGCATCGAAAACGGTGCTCTTAATTACTGTAAGCCTGACCGGAATGAGCTTAACTTTACTGCTGTTGTAAACAGCCATCGAATTACAAAACTGCAACTTGAGATGCCTCGCATTGTTTCTTTAAAACAGATCAAGGTATTAAAAACCATCTCATGGTGGGACATTTCGGAAGAACTCTAACAAGTAATAAGCCGCCGGATCGTTCTTGAGGCAATGAAAGCACATTAATTCAACAAATTGATTTGACCAGTTCACCGTTAATCTGTTAAGACAAGAATCATTTTCTCTTGGTTAAAAAGATTAACATTAGAGGAACGACAAACATCTATGGTAGAACAATCATCCTTTCTATAATTTTGCACTTGCTTTATGTCACGTTCTCGATGTTCAGTTATTACTTCTTTATCAAATTCCTGGAATGTCTTAAGTGAAGAAAATGCCAGAACGTAATGCATCAGTCTAAACAGACGTGAAATTCTAGGTGTGCCAATTCAAAATCGTTCACCGCGGGTTTGGGGCCCGGGGTTGGGGTTGATGCACCGATAGATCGTGATCCAAATATCCTGCTCTCGTCATGTATCTCTTGAATTTGTGTCAAGTTGCTCCTTTGTCCTCAGTGTAGAGCTAAGTAAGTAAGCAATTAAGTGGTGGAGTGCATGCCGGCTTGCGCAATCTCCTGAGCCAGAGCTGATCATGTTAAAAGTGCTGGAGAATAATAGTAATATCCTAATAAAATCCAATGAGTTAGGGAGTTCAGTCAAAGCATTTTGAATTAATTTTGGCCTGACGCACAAAAGTAACTTTAAATTGAAGAAAACCAAAGAGCTAATAATAAACCGTAAAGGAACAAGAATGGTTAAGGATGGAGAAGATTAACACGGATTACAAACGACGAACTTGAAAAATTTAGGCTAAAATTTTCAAGATGCGCAAACCGTGACGTTGCTCCTTTAAGAGTAAGTTAGACAATAAATCAAAAACCAGACTGAAATAATACAGCTACATAAATAAGGTTTAAATTGAATTTGCCAGATTTGTTCTGCTAATTTGCTCTGCTGCGTTCTGATCTTTTGACACCTGTTTATAGTTCAAGTTTAGCCCACAAATTTTAGAGTCGTGACTGAGTTGCAGAGGGATCATTCAAATGACAAACGTTTCTTTCATGTCCTGGTTGTGGAATTCAGGAATACCTCTGAAACTCACGATATACAACTCATATCCAGTCTATCAATTCATTTAGGCATGCAGATTCCAGAAAATGTATATACTCTACATCGCTGTCCATGTAAGTGGCGTTAGTTTCTTCGAAGAGTCTTCTTTTTAAAAGGATTGTCCCATAAACGAGTTACCTAATACACTTTGTAAACTAGGGACATCTGTTGTGGTAATTATAACGCTGTTGCACAGTAAAATTAAGGCTTTACCTAGCTTATTAACTTCCATTTTTGATTACTGTTCATTTCGTACATGCAACCCAATTACGGATGAGGACATTTGTACTATAACAATGATCCGCTTGTAAGCTAACGCCTTTAACAACTTGTTACTGGCAGTTTAGTTGTAATATACTGATATATCAGGCCGGAAGTAACTTTGCACGATCATAGACTCTGCATGTAATCGGATTTTACCATTCCTTGTTCTTAAAACCGAACATAGCTTTTTTGTCAAAATATGAAATTAAAGAATTAAAAAGATACGTTATCGTACATTAAAATACAGATTTCTTATGCTGAATATAACTGTAAAATATTAAATGCGGTGAAACTCGTAAAGTATTTGTGCGCAATATTGTATTTAAACATGAAGGAAAGGTGAATAATTTAAATTATGAGTCAATATGCGTTTCCCAGTAAAAAGACTCAACTATTGCAAACTTACGTAATCCGATACGAATATTGCGCAAGGCTTGTTACGATCACCGTTTACCGTAGTTGTACGTGTGTGAATGAGGCTAATCTCAAACCTAAGGTGAAGTTTTGGGGAGTGGTTTGAACTTGTGGAAATCAGTTGTAATCATCTGCGTGCCAGTAATCAAGCGTGAAATGACAAAATCTGGATATGCGTGTATGAATACATCTTTGAGGGATACATAACTTTTGACGAAATGATTCAGTATTGAGCGCACTCAGGCAATGTCAAAGTTGGCAAAAAATCCCCAAAAATGTATTGCGCATAAAATGAAGGAAAGCCAATGGTTCTGACTTCAGGTGATTCGTATCAGAAGGTAACTGATCGCTAGACTAAAGTCAGTTGTCACCAGTTTAGAAATGAAAAGCCAAATAAGCCCAGGGGTCGCACTCACAACCTGTTATTACTTTTAAGTAAAGTAAACCTTGAAGGCTAAATTTAGTTTCAATTTAATTAATTTGTGGTTTACTGACGATTTCCATTAGACTGTCACTTTATCGTTTCTTTTGTTTCCAGCCAGCTGTACTTTAATTCAAGTAAATTAACCGTAAACTTCCCACTGTTAGAGCACGATTGTAGAACTTCGAAGCGATTACAAGGCCTAGCTCACGCATTTGAGTATATGAAAGCAAGTCACGATTTTGTTCCTTGGAAAAATAAGTGGATACAAAGTTCCACTTAAGTTATACTAAAAAGGAGTACACGTTTCTCGCCTTTCTTAAGCGTAATTTAAAATTCAGCATTCATTATTCTCGCAAGCAAGAGCTTAAATCTAAATCAATTTACATTACTTAAATTAAAGGATTGAGAAAGATCGAGGAAAGCGATAGGCACACCTAAAAATCAGTCATGTTTTTGACAAATTCATGAACGTTTCCTCTATTTTATTGCGTACTTGAAAGTTTTGACCATCATCTCATTTAAATTCGTTAAAAGCTACAATATAAAAGAAATAATTGCAACAGTAATGTCGAAGATTGCATGAGGTAAGATCTACGAAAGATAAAGGGGCACGAAGTGAAACATGAGAAAAAAGTTGGAAAATTACGCATTACTGCTGTAAATAAATAATTTCTCTAGTAATGGCTAAAAGCCGAGTTTTCGCGATCTGCGCGCTTTTTCGATTTTAAAAAAATATATATATTCGCTAACTGAGAAAAATTTAAGTATACAACTGAATAATCAGTTAAAGAAAAAATAACGAACGTATCGTATCGCTTTCTTAGCTCAGAGGTCGTATTTCGCTATTTGTAATTAAGCGACGTTTTATGCATTTGTAGGATATGAAAATGACATTTTCAATACTTTCAAGACCAGTTTCTCGAAAAGATAGTGAAGCTAAGAATCGTAACTAAGTGTTGGTGGTCTTCGTGGCAGTAAAGTTAAATTAAAAAACAAGCACAGACTCACCTTGAAGAACGAAGCTTGATTCCTTGTTTACCTGCTTTTAACTCTTTGCAATATGACTTTCTCCGAATGCCTTGTCTTTATGTCTTGCGTTTTTATCACTGAAAATCACGACTGTGGAAAAAACAATAACAGTCAGACCATTTTACTTTCATTGCAAAGCTGACAAGAGGGAGTGGCTATGGTAATTAACACCACACGAACTCAGCCTGTCGGAAGAAGGCAAAAACACTGACGTATATCAAAAATGTTCCCTTTTAGAAGATGATGCATGACGTTCTTATCTCGATTAAGGAAACTTGCAGGATAAATTATTCATCTAAAAAGCCGCAGCCTATTCATTATGTAAAACTTTTTGAGTGTATCGCGTCTATTGAAAAAGACTTCCACAAATGATGTTTCTTTTATCAGGAGCATTTAGCGCTGAGACGCACTTAGAAGGTTCTTAGCAATTATTCTGAGCAATTGACAGGCCGTCGAAATGTTTGTATTGATATAGCTTTGCCTTTTAGACTCTATTTGTTGTTTTTTTCTAGGGAATTCAAAATACTGCGGCATCTTTGATTTTCTCCACTGTTGTCATCTGGATTTTTATCGGTTGCAAAGAGTTCAGACTTTGTTTTCCTTCTCGACGAAGGCAACTTGATTATACACTCAGTTTCGGCAACTTTCCTTAATGAAACAAATAGTTCGTGTTTTTACAACGGAAAGTGACCCAATTATATAAAGAAAAACATCACTAGCTGAGGAAAATGTAAAATTATTATTCTTAATCCTATAATTAGTGCAAGATGCGAGAACATTTAGAAATGACCACTTAGTCTTATCGTGAAGTCCATTTCAACTTTTCGTTTACGCAAAATTGGCCCCTTAAAATATCAACTCTCCTTACTGCTTGTCTAGCATTTCTTTTGGGCTAGTTTTGAGAATTTGGTCCTATATCAGGACTGGGTATATCTATCTCTTTGTTGATCGTTTTCTTTAGTCTCGTTTCATGTTTACTTGCACCAATGTTGTAATGAGAAGTTATCGGTTGATCACATTCGGCTGGCAGTGAAAGACGCGCAATGGTAACTGCTTCATGTTTCCTATTGAGCACGTTCCAATGACCGGACTTCTACAATATGTGATTCAAGTTAATTTACCTACTGCCAGAAAAAATGCTATGCATAACTCACGGTTGTTGACTAAAGCAAGCACCAAATCCTATCACAAATTCAATTGGCAAGTTTCAAATAGTACATTCAATCAATCATACTACAGACAACGATATTCGTACGTACAAACGTGAGTTGTTTACGTTTTACTTAGACAACCGTCTTCATAAACGCAACAGTCTAACCATTTAGGTTTATCATCCTTTCATCTGTTTAGAACACCTAATCAAAAACTCTTAGTAACGGAACTACTGTAAACGCCTTCGTTGAATAACTCAGGATAAAATAATTTTTTTTTGAAAAAAGCTAGTATGTCTATATTTCTAATACTTAAATCAAACGGGTTGTACTGCACTGTTCTACCATGACCTGATCAGCGCATTTTACCCCGAGCGGCGAAGTAATTTCCGAAGCACGTGCCACGTGCTTCAGTTGAGAATAGATATACGCCTAGAGTAGTCTCGAAAGACCTGACTCTAAAATTAAATACAATAAGTTGTCATTCTCTGTACACAAGTACTAGAGTATGTCAAAGGTCCGCGTATATTAGGCTGAATATCAATGCCTTTTAACACAATTCTGAAAAACTCTATATTTCAGTATTTGTATTTTAATTAAGGTACTTGTAAGGGTGGATGGCTAATTAATTCACTTAGGAAATCGTCCGACCTATGTTTTTCTTAGTTCATTTTTTTTTCTTTTTAAATGTGTTTACTGCGCTGCTCTTCTATGGAGTGATATTTTGTAACTTCAGGTGTTTTAAAGAAATGACACGCACTGGAAATTCTTACTCGTACTCTAAAAAAAGCTTGAAATATGCAGCTAACAGAATTAACACGTACGTGAACCCAGAATCCCGATAACTCTGATATTTCATACTCTGTTATTTTCATACAACAATAACCAATTCCAAACACCTACTGAGTGCAATAAGTAGTTGTCTTTGATTTATTGTGGAATTGCATGAGTGGTCGTGGTGCAATAATTCAACAATTTTCTCTTTCTTATGTAAACTAGCCGCATATATTATTAACTACTTAATAACCGAGAGTGAGGTCGTTACGGGAAAATCTCAACTGAGGTCTTGCCGTATTGACCTCGCTATCGCTCGGTCAATACGGTAGGCCGAGGTTTGAGATTTTTCCGTAACGACCGAACGGTCGAGGTTATTAAGTTGTTTATTATATGGCTCACGAATTAAAGAAGAAAAAAATATTCGAGCGGAGGTCGTCAATTTACATCCGGCGATGCGCGCGTTTACGGATTCATTCATCGTCTCAAACCCAGGGCAAAACTACACAGTCAGTGAACTTTATCACTGTATTTCTTTACGGGAAAAATGATTGTCACAGCCCTCAAAAAGGTATTTTAGTATCGTGTTGCCACAACTTGATGAGGGAGTTTTTCCAATTTTTGTGGCGAAACGTCAACGTATATAGAAAAGACAGAAAGTGCTTCAAAATA